TTGAACTTCAATGAAATATTATAATTATGATAATTATTGGCAGGAAAAAAGCAGCCAGCAGCGCGGATTTTCTAAGTCAGAAGCCTCCTCTTCTGCCATCAGGAGATGAACTATGGGTGGCCATTCAGAGGCTGGCCCTTAGCCGACTTGTATCATCGATAATTTACGAAAATAATATTCTTTGGCAGGAAAGAATAAGAAATAATATACTTAAACAATTTACTGTGATGAAGTGTCGAAATAAAGTTTGGAGCATGTTGTGAAAATTCCATTTTCGAAAAAACGTGCAAAATGATCACTAATCATTTCAACAAAGAAAGGCCAAAGAGCCAATAGAAATTTTATAAATTCAGCATGTATTCATAATATGAAATTTTCTAGGCACCGTCAATTAAACCTCCTAATTAGGTGTTAGAGTGTAGTTAGACATCAGCATGAAAGAAGCGCCCTGGCAAATAATAAGAACTTGTTTTAATAACACTTTTATGTATATTCCGCTGATTATATCTGCAGTCTTTTAAGTTTATATTTATACGATATGCTTACACAAAAATTACTATATAACATCCATCAATGATTTGTGACTGGAAATTATAGGAGCTGTAATTTGCAAATAAGATCTAGTCCTCGTGGATTGGAGTTACTTCAATGCCTTTTTCTGGAAGACCTGAACTGAATTCTTTGTTGTTATAAACAGCGTCGTATTTGGTGATTATGTTCGGCTACGTTCAAAGTTCGGTGCAAAATATTCATTTAATAACCACTAGCTCAGTATAATAGCATTCCACCAGCTGCTCAGTGCAGCAGCATTCCACCAGCTGCTCAGAGCAGCAGCATTCCACCAGCTGCTCAGTGCAGCAGCATTCCACAAGCTGCTCAATGCAGCAGCATTCCACCAGCTGCTCAGTGCAGCAGCATTCCACCAGCTGCTCAGAGCAGCAGCATTCCACCAGCTGCTCAGTGCAGCAGCATTCCACCAGCTGCTCAGAGCAGCAGCATTCCACCAGCTGCTCAGAGCAGCAGCATTCCACAATCTACTATGAATTTATTCCACTAACAAAATTTAATCTTCATATACCAGGAAAGTATCACAAAATGTCTCACAATGCTACATGTCCCATGAAAAAGTGCTACCCAAGTCAGAAACGTTCTTTCGGAGCAAGATTTTAAAATTAGGACAAGTGAAATATGCGACATTTTCTTCCATTTACGCCACGTCGCAAACGATGGGAGCGCGGGTTTGATTCTTCTTTCTAAAAACGTAAAATGTTAAAAATTGCTCAACAAATCCTCATAGGGAATTTGTTTACAGCAACTGAACTTCAGCATTGAAGTTCGAACAAAGTTCTTCCTACAATACGCATGTAAAGGCGAAATTTAAATATCTAGTTATTAGATTTGACATTTTTCAAACTAGAAATTTTTTTCGTCCGCCGCTCCGGTTAAAAGGGGCGAGCAAATAAATTCTGGGATGCATAGAAAGCTCAAAAGATTTAGGCGCACTTCCCTGGAGGCCATTCTGGGAGCGCCAATATAGCTACAATTTCAATCCATTTCGAGAGTTAGGTCGTTGCTGAAGTTTTACTTGGTGTTAAGCTCCCACCAAGTCCCATATAAAAGAACTTAATCCCAATTTAGTTCTACGGCTCGACAGGATTCGCTGTACTTGAAACAGGACGAGTGTTCGATATATATTAAAATTTTACTCTTTGCCTACTTTCTGAAAATCTTTACAAATTCATGTGTCCTCAGCTCTACAAATTTTTCTATATTTTAGAATCGATCTACACAGAATCAAGAAAACTGTAGGCGTTTTATAGTTGAATAATAGATTTGTTCTCGAAATGTAGTGATGACGGCGAAAATCATTTGGCATCTTAAATCGCGGTCTGCGCCGCATTCAGTACACGACAGTCCCGTTTATTCGTACAAATTACAGCTAACCAAGCTTCGTTTCATCCACAACCTAAACCGAAGTCATGTCATCAATCAAATTCTTGTGGTCACAGCCCCAGCATGCCTTTATTCGCTTAGCGGCTCTCAGTCACCCGTAGCTTCGAACTATATTCAAAACTATGTATAGTATTATAATATTAAGTAAAGTCCAACTAGTGAGCACTTAATTGTGAACGACAAGAACAGACTGGCGACAGACAAAATTAGCACTCATCTACATATGTTCGTAGCTGTCGTCCAGGGACAATTTTATTCTGACAAAACCATATGCACTTTTCTGCACTGCATCGTAAAACCATTAAATTTTTCTCTCAACAGCAGAATTAATACATCTAAATTAAGGATTCGTAATCCGATTATGACGCACGTTTCGCAATTTTCATCATTAAGTTTAGATTTGGAGTTGAAGTGAACACAGCTCAAGACTCGCCTGATTGACGGGCTTATAGGTCCTCCATGAGCCTCTCAGCAATTCTCACTGCAAAGCTCGGCATGTCTAATGCCCCTTCATTTATTCCTGACACGACACGAGCTACGCACAAATTGGCTGTCGTCTAAAAGCATTGGCGCCAAAGAAAATTTTACGGAAAGTTGTAAACGTTTTATCTGTGGTTTATGCGGGTAAAAAAAGGCCCCAAGCTTTGTTGAGTGTCTAAATTTAGTTTTAGATGCAGGGATAGAAGTTTTATCATGCAATGTTATTGTACAGCATAAATACTGTTGAACGGCACAGAAGAGCCCGAAATTTAAATACTTTGTGTCATTCAATCACAAACTGCGCGGTTGGTTACCACAAAAATACAAAATCTGATGTTGTAAACTTGATCACCTTCAAGTAAAAGACTTTCGAACTAGTTTCGCCTGTTTCGAACTAAATTAATTAAGTGGCTACACAGGTCATGGCGTTACGAGGCCTCAACTAATGTGCCCAGTTCACGTGCCCAAATCTGAAAACAAGTCCCTGTATCGAACCGGGATTAAGAAGTGAACTGATCTCAGCATTGCTGACGTATTCGTAGCACGATGATGTGTGTTCTTTAAATGAAAATACTGAGATAGACGATAAAATGATAAACACTTATTATCGAAAGCAATTTATTCAAAGCAATTTTGCCCTTGGGATTAGACTTGATGGACACTCTTCAGTCTTCACTAGATAAAAATGTTCCAAGTGTGCTAAGTTAGAAATTCTCACGTTTGGTCGAAAGAGGTTAAAAAGCGGAGCGACTCTGCCTTCATTTACCAATGAATAACAATGGAAAGTCTTTTTGGCTATTCAGAAATCTCAGTGGCCCGCAAGAACCCTCTAGAAATAATAAAGGCTTAGAATAATACGGCACACTCGAGAGCTGCTCCATTTGGCCTTTTTGCGGTGCCAGAATTTGGCAAAGAAACGGCCTTGGAGTGGCAGATAAACTTCACTAAACGCCCATTTAATCTCCACGCCTCCTCCCCTATACATAGCATGCTGCGACGTCCATGCTAGGCATCGTAGTTTCCCTGAAGAAGCTCAGTAAATAAAAATTGAGCTCTACTTTTGTGTATCATACGCTACAATCTAGCATCATCAATGGAACGTACCAGTCCGTTTTTATCAATTAATTTAATATTTATATTGATAAAACGTTACGTCACACTTAAATTTACTATATTACATGTAATAAAATATGTGTCGGACGTTAACTCTCGTTACTAGCCTCTACGCAAGAATATCATTCAAGCCTATTAATGTTTCTGTACAAAAAGTATTAACCTTTTTTCCAATTAGGGTAACTCTCATTACCAGCCTTCACATACTAAGCGAATCGAAAACAACTTATGTGCAAGATGACATTTGAAAGAGGGAGAGTTAACCCTCTTCCAGTTATAATACTTGTTTATTATGTTAACATTTTGAACATTTTCTGAGCTTTGGCGGGGAAAAACATAGTAAATTTCTCCAGGAGTGAATCTCACCTCCAGGAAATTCACTTTTTCGTTAGCATCGTGAACAAAAAATAAATATTGTGTTTTTCGTGGTGATGCCGCCAGTAAGCAGCACACACCCAGCCTCATATGAAGATGTCGGCAGCGGGGCGCTTTATCTAGCTACGGCATCTCATTTATACCCGACATCAGTCCATTGTGAAGGCCTAAGGCGGAGGTCGCAGTTTGATGGCTAAACGCCAACATGACCTCGACACTCGACTTTTCTGCGTGCCTTATCGACCTGGATTTGGAATATTTCCAAGACTTTTTTGATTCGGATTTAAGGTTTAACCAACGAACGTCCTCCGCTTTGAATGATAAAAATAATGCCATTTTTCAATCCAGTTAAGGATTACATTTATGATTATATTCTCGTGCTAATGGTCCAACTCAATTTTCGTGAAGTAATTTAAACTTTTTCTATTAAAAGAAAAACAGTTTCTTAAACCATTCTCATAAGGATTTTCGAGGTCATTCAACGTTTCTTTCCATAACGTTCGAGATTCGAAGGTCTCATCCTGTCAAGTCCATCTCCCTGACCCGTTTAAATTGTCCCTCTGTCGACAGTGACTCCTAAAAATCTATTTCAGGATCAGTCGCTCCCCAAAAAGTTTCTATACCATTTGAGTTTAGAGGCTCAGGGGGCGCGGTGTGCCAATTGAAACGACCGTGGAGCTCGTAAAAGTTATGAGTCCTTGTGCCTAAAACGGGAGCATGGAGAAATGTCGATGGTGAGCGATGAAATTATGAAATAAATTGAATCCAGGAACAACATAATTCAATAGAGTAGGGAAGCCTATTCCATTATATGTACCGATATGGGATTATTTTTTAACGATGAAAATTCTTATAGCATTATTTGAGATCAATTTACAACCCATGGAACAAAATTTGTGGTTAAACGTTTATTCCTATAATACCTAGAGCAGAATGAAAATGAAAAACAAAAATTTGACAGCCAAAACATGCCGTACTATAATACAATGTTATATAACCGATACATCAATAAACAATAGCGCCTTTTTTCCATAAATGAGAAAATGCGCTAAAAAGATATTGACTTCAAGGTGGCTCACCTCAACAACTTGATGGCCATGAAGCCTGGGATTGAAATCGGCGGGCGGGGAAGTGGGGCGCCCGCAAGGTTCAACCCAGGAATATCTCTGGGCAAGGACGACGACATCGCTGCCAGAGGCAGCCGCTCGCTGGTCACTGGCGGCGCCTCCGCCACTACACATCAGCGCAGGATCGTCCATATCGCTGGCCCCGATCATGTGACTTGACGAACTTGGCTTGCGGCCACTTCCCCTCACCTCGAAATCGGAGCCGCGCGAGGTAGCCGGGTCAGGGCTCCGGTCAAATGAGGCGCCTGGAGACCTAGTGGCACCGCGAGGATCAGACGATGGACGCGACGATGCTGCGCATGATGCAGTGGACACGACCAGGTCTGTGTCACGAGTGGCACTGCTCTCGATCCCTGCTGGCGTAGGGACACTTGAGGATGAGGACACAGCTTGAGAGCTCCCAACTCGTGCTGAAGGATCGTTTGAGGAAGTTTTGGCAACGAAGGCAGAGGTCGAATTCTGGTCTCCGAAAGTTGTCGGATGAGATGACTGCAAGTCGGACGTCGGGATGTCTTGGTCTGCCAAGAAGAGGCCCAAGTCAGGCAAGTGAGTGACCGAGTCGGCGCCAGCTGGGCTGCGAGGGTCGGTGAGATGCGAGGGGTCTGCTGGGCTGCGAGGGTCGGTGAGATGCGAGGGGTCTGATGCAGCCCCAGTGCTTGATGACGTCACGAGAGCTTCATACTGAGCGCGAGTGCTGGGCACCAACTGTGACGTCATAGCCACCGTCAGCGTCACCTCCGACGAGTTTTTCAGGATCTGAGCAAAAAACAGACATAAATTAATACACTTGACAATATATCCACTCGTTATTATAAATCAACTTAACCAACAATGTCTATTCAATTGACTAAAGAAGAAAATACGTGATTGACGATTATTTCTTCGTTTTCTCATAATATTCCAGAAGCCGTTCTAGATGATACCCATTAACTTTTTACGACAGCGTAAACCGAGCTAACCTCCTAGGTCTTCGCTCAACACGATCTCTGACGTTCTAGTGTCTAGACACACGATGACAAATTAAGATGGAGCGCCGGACGGTTATGTGCCAGTAATGGGTTATCGCTTGAAATTTACTGCCAAGAGGAGAACTTTCACCAGCGGAGGAATTCTAGAGGATGTAGCCTCAAATTCCTGTTCCTCCATCCACTACTCGTCCCTAGAGCTTATAACGGTCATTGACCTCTTATGTTCCGAAACTATTAAATACTGATTGACAAATAGGACAATGTCCTTCTTTGGAGATTTAGCAAAACAGTAGGAAATGCGAACAAATTTGTGCACTAATAACACTAATAAAATAATTTATTTTGAAACGTTACAATTTAAATCTCATAAGTTATTAGCGCCATCAGGAACTGCAGAGAGAGAATATTGAAGGGCACTTATTAAAGAGAATCAGGGATCGATATGAGCAAGAAGAATTAAATTCAAGATAAAAATGAAAGAGGTAATGATGTTACTTCTGTAGAGCCTGAGAAAATACCAGCAAAAAATTATTTACAAAATTACAGGAAGTTACGTAAAAATAATAAAATGAAGCACGAAAGAAAAGTTTTCGTAATTAGCTCTAGAGAGAAAAATTTGTTACTGAGACCAGGGATATTTTCTCGCAATATGAGACAAGTTTCCCAATGATTTTAACAAGGTTTGGGCTCGTTTGGCGAACTCGCTGAAAGGAACTTCTTTGGAAGAGCCTTGAACTTCTTAGAGATGTTGTGATGAATTTGCAGGTAAATAGACTCACTGATATCATATTTTAAAAGAGGCTCAAAAACACAAGACTGTCCAATTTCGAAATTTTTTGCCCGAAAAATCATCACTATACAACAAAAACTATTATATGTAGAATAAATTAGTCGGACATAGGAGATAAAACGAACTAAAAGTTCCAAGTCACGCGGACAAATATAGCAAAACAGATCACTCGCAAGAATGATGAGAACTAAATCTAAATGTAAACCAAGTTTGAAGTTGGAGATGTCGGTCAGGACAGCCTATCCAAATAAACAGCAACTTTGGGATCCTGGTCACGATGATGAGACTTCCCAAGGATTTCCGACCGAAATTTGGAGACGATCCAAGACAAGATTTCGGAGCAAGATTTCGTTTTCAGTCTCACAGTGTCTCTGTCACCTTCCACGAACAATGAGTTAGAACTAAAAGAAACTATCTCCAATGATCGTGAGTATACCTGATTGATAGATTTTCAGTCTTTTCCTTTGATCACGATACCAAATTGATAAAAATAAACAAATATTGAATCTATGCGACATTTTAATTCAGAACAATTCCTCATGTGTCTAAAAATTTCGTTTTTTCCATCTATATAAAATTATACACAAAAAATTGCCGTATATCAATAACAACTTCGGTTGCGGAACTCGAGTCCGCAAAAGTAACGTCTGCAAGAAGCATGGAAACCCCTTCGGATGCTTCTATGCACGCCCAAATATAAATATACTAGTCATTCAATAGACTAGTCAAACGCCGCAAAGTTGAGCTTTTCTAAGAACAGAGCGTATGGCTGGAAGAAAATCGCTTGCCCGCTGGTGGATTATGCAAATTGCAGCACAGTGGCCGAGCGCGGCGCCTTAATCAGATTATGTAAACAAGAAGCGTTACTTTTTAATTCATCGATGGACACTAACAACCTGCAGGAGGGTATATCATTTTCATCAGCGCTTGGCTACCAGGACTTCCGCCTTCAAACTGGAATGCCTCAAGATCAAGTAACAGAATTTTATGCGCAACAGAGCTCAGTATTATTATAGCTGGTTATTGGTTTTCCACCGCAAAAGAGTACTAGGCCATATAAAGATGTATTTCTTTTGTTAAAAAAGTTGCTATCTCATTTCACACACTGTACAAACTGTCATCGTAACACGAGATTATATAACCTTTATCAATGTATAATGAAATTAGCCCGATTAAAGGCGCTAGATTGAAATATAATTAAGTGCAAGATCACTTAACCTCAACTATGGAGAGGTTAATTGATACTACTATAACGCATCTATTTAACCTCCAGTTGATGCCAAACGTTATTAAATATGTCCAACACTTCTGATTGTCAATCCATTACTGAAAATAAATAGCGTTTGGAAGCCCCGCCCACTCTTGACCCACCGCCGGCAGCATCGGTGCTCCATAAGAGTAACTTTCGACGTAGCTCAGCTGGTAGCCTCGTAAAATAGTAGCATAAAACGCTGCATTACGGAACATCTTTCGCCAAGCCTCGAGCAGTCCGACCATAAGCCGTCCCAACACCAATAAAACCTCGAAATGGGTCCAGATTTTACTCCTCGTCCAAGTTGTATTAACTCTGAATTATTTTATGAGATAAAATTGAACAACGCGACTTGTAGACGTCAGTAACACATGGTAGTGTAAATTTGTGCTACTAACTCTGAAAAATTATATTTTAACGGAGCATCGGCAAAATGATGATCGACGACGTGATAACCTAGGCTAATTTTTAAAATTACACGTAATTATTGACACAGCAGGACATTTGGCAGATGAATGGAGCGAAATCATGCAAATCAGCGAGTGAGGTATTACCGTATAGCATGGGTCGCTAGGGCGCTATGTCCTCAATGGCTTCTGAGAGAGAAGGCAAACAATGTTGTCAGCGCTCTCAGGACTGACATGGATCATAGCGATCAAGCTCCAGCATATGTTGGTTGGAGTGTGAGCAACCGAATACGTAGGAAATAGTTCGAGATAAATTCGCTAAGCGTATAATTCAGAATGATTAAATTCGACCCAAGAGCTTAACAACGTACTGGCATTTCGTAAAATAAAATTTTTTCAAACACATAAAAAATGTATAAGTCAACTTGAACCAGATAAATGGCCCAGCCATCGGCATGAATCATACAACGCAAAAACGGTACAATGCAGGCAATGAATGACTCTGAAACCTTTGCCTCTGTGACCTGAAATTTACAGGATAACAATATTAAATGCAAGGCTAGATCCGACGTTTCAAAATATATTAATTGAGCTTAAATTTCATCCTGTTTTTTGTCGTGACAATACTTTTTGCATCCGAATTTCGAACATCCGTAATAACAATATAATTGGGAATGACAACTCATCTAACAGCCACCACTTAGAAGAGAAATCGTTTACAAAATCAATAACACTCGAGAGCCTGAATTCAATAACGACGCACAAGGAAAATAATTTTCGCTACAGTATAATTTTCTGTCCAATTCGGTTCTAAATTCCCTCAATGTATTTGGATTTTACAGCCAAGCCTCTTTTCTTTCATATCCTGATTATTTTTCATGATGTTTCTATTACGTACAATGGATTCACTAAACCAATACTTGAAACTAAATAACTTGGCCAAGATCAGTTCCAAATCGTCATTATTAAATGAATCAACATCTACCTTTGCCAACAAATCATTAAAAATAGATACAAGAAAACTTATCAAAATATTATATTCTCCTTCTGTCCAATCAGTTCAATAGAAAAAACAATGAAATTACTATCTTTCATAATAGACGTCATTATGAAATATTACAGAACATGTTATAAATTACGCATTCAAATATAGATATACCGAATAATTATTATGAATCACTAACTAACAAGTATATTACGCAAGAACAAAACTGCAAGGTGTGAACGCTTCTGTAGGACCTGGAATGACAGTGTTTGTATTTCATACTGTTATATACAATAGGTATTGATTATATACATTAAATAAATATTTTAAAACATTATCAAACGGTAGGATTAAACCTAAATTGTTAAGTAAAGCAAGAAAATAAATAATGTGATCGATCATACTTTTTTCTTTCTTTTTCTTTTAATATAACATGGGCTTAAACTTTTTAATCCTAATGCATTATTTGTGTGGCTTCAATCGAAAGGCTATCCATGCAGTTTTTTCAATTAACCAAGACCGAAAGTAATTATGGTAATTAATGGTAATTAATTAACTAATAATTTAAGTAATTTTCCTGCAATTACATCGACAGGTTGCGAACTGTGAACAAATTATTATCCTGAATACTGTGAAACGAATGCAAGATAAAATAAACTGAGTGCACCAAAAAGTTAAATCAAGATCTATAGAGCGGAGCCTTATACCAAGTTGAAAATGCACCGACTTTAATGAACGAAACACCTCGAGAGTGTCAAGACGTTGGCAGGTTATCTTGAAACATGAGCGAAACTTCGAACAGCAAGAAAAATGCTTAATGGAAAAGGCTTCCATATTTCTCACCCGACTCCATATCTAGAGCGCGATACACGACAAAAATTCATTTTAAACTTCAACGTAACAAGAAGGTTTCAAAGTGCGAGTAGAAAATCAAAGTTTTGTCGATTTTCCCCATATACATAACTCGTCTAATCGTTTGCAAATTTCATGATTGTTTACATTACATGATATTTATGATCATTACAAAGGAAATTATCCTCAGATCCCAAAATTATCCCACAAAACATCAACAATTAGCCAATAAAGAATTTGGAAGTTCCTAACAAAACCAACACTCTAATTAAACATTTTTATGGTAGTTTAGAAATTTTTCTGCCAGTGTGAAGGCCATGCTTTGATATGTAGTCATATTACATTTTTCAGATGGGAACTCGATGACGCTGTAGTGGATTCGATCAGAAGATAACTTAATAAATCTGTTCACACGATCAAGCAACTTAACACGGCCATAACCATCAACTGCTGGCTGCCGCCGTTGCTACAATGACTCGCCTTTCTACCACAGTAGACGGTG